TCATCAGAAGGACTGTTGAGATGCTGAAGAAATCTAACAACCTTAACAAATGAGCCTGGGCTATTGCTTATGCCAGTTTGTTTTGTGTATGCTACGTTAACCTGCCTCACTCCAGATTAATATGTGTAGCAGTCTGAATTGAGTTCTACATATTATCAATCTGGGATGGCTCTCGCTGAAAGTGATTGGAAATCGGAGAACATCATGATGATCATTATGATACTTTCGGTCTAACTGACCGAAGAGTCACATCACTGAAACAAGCTCAAAAATATATATATTTTTTTGTTACATCCAGTTAAGAGAAAAGCACAGAGCTTCCCTGTCCACTAATGGACAAAGTGCATATCTTGTGCATGTTTTTCACAAACTAAATATGAAGTATGTCTGTCTTCATGTTTGTTTTGGTTAGTTTTGGGCACTTCGCCTCTGGGTTTCACACAAACCTCAATGCTGCTCTGCGATTGTTCCGGCCAACTGATTAACCTTACAAGGGTGAATGCCAAGATGATAAATAGAATAGAAAGCCTTTATTGTCATCATACAATAGTATAATGAAATTCAGATCAGACCTTAGCTGTGAACCTTGAACATAATTTTAAGATTAAATCAAAGATTTGGCGATTGTTATCTCAGCATAGCAAAATGTAACCACAACAAATTAGTAAATTCCTCAAACTTGCCATAATAAGAATAAAAAGCTTAAAGAAGTTTCCAAAGATCTCTTCTTTCATTCCCTCTGGACGCAGGGCTACTACGCTCTCATACTGGATTCCCCCTGGAGTGAACATGATCCGTGTCTATCAGATATGTCCATATAAACTATGCATATCTGCTTGTGTCATCCAGGCCAACGCTGGCGGAATGCCTAAACTCTTTAAGGACAGACTATGAGTTTCAAAAGTACATTCTGTGTGAGAATTTCCCACTTTTCTGTGCTCACCGCACAAAGGCCATGTCTATAGAAAATCCCCCAGAGACACAAGTTAAAACCCAAACATTCATCTGTCAATCACTGAGAGCCACCAACTGCACAGTGACCCAGGACAGGAAAAGCCCCACTGTCTGAGTGAAGGCTCTGACTGTGCTCCTCTGGAGGGGTCGTGTAAGTGTTCAGCTGGTGCAGAGTAGGCCTGTGCATTCAGTATTCTGTGTGTATCCTGTATGTATTTTATATGTATAGCAGCACTTAAGACTGTTGTATAAAGGAACTTAATCTATGTTACAATGGCCTGCATAGAATGAAGGTCTCTTCAGTCATGGCAGAAGAGAAAATCTATGCATCTATGAAAACATTTACCTCTGCAGTTGTCACTGAGAGGGTATTTCTTTCTCTTTACACCCACTCCCTGTCCAGCACTTCTTTCTGTTGTAATGGACATTGAAAGACACTTGATTAAAACAAACTCTTGGTGGTGGTAGGGATTACACAGATAAGTGCAAGTCTGCTGGGATGGCAAATGAGGACGCAATATAAAAGTTACACAGAGAGGATATGAATTCAGTCTGCTGTCCTTTGAGGGCCTATTCGTGTAAAGTGGCTGTGTGTTCCCTCAAAGCAAATTGACTCAAGACTAATCAGGCCTGAAATGAAGACTTATGAGTTCTAATGTAAAATGTATTATCATTCTTCCACCAGAAAACCAACAATATTTATGTAAACTTCCCAAAAGTTGGGGCACTGTATGGAAAAGGGAGGTGAATATAATAATGTCAATTTAAAAATACAATATTTGTAAGAACAATTTATGATTAGAAAAAACTACTATGGAACAACTGAGGCAGAAGGAAATTAAAAAGAGAAAAATATATTTTTGATAATTAATGGGTTAAAACAATTAGGCATCATCATCCCAGCCTTTTGAATGTGGTATTGCAATAACATTTGATCGCATCTTAACATTCATCAGACTAGTATCATATTTGTAGTAATAGTGTGCTTGATATGAATATTTAGCTCCACACTGCCAGCTCAGTGATTATTCCCTTGGCGTATGTCACTGGCGGTATAATACTCCCTAAAATGGAAGTATAACCAGACTGAACCGAACTAGATGGGAATGGTCAATACCATTACAATGTCTTCAGAGTTCATGTTCACGTAAATATACTTTTCCTGTGTTAGAACTCCAGCCTCATGTCACTTCCTCCATCACTTGGCCTACTTCAGTTTATTCTACAATTACAATAGTATTAGCCATAGACAGTAACTGCTAAGCCTGTCACGATAAAAAATTTTGAAGGACAACATACTGCTACAGAGATATACTGCAGTAAATTATAATATTTACTTTATACCATGGACACAACAGCAATAAAGCATGATAATCCCAATAAACATATTTTTAAATAAACAGTATCATTAAGTGGCATGAGGTACAACAAATAAATAACGGAATGACCAATAAGTTACTATTGTATTGTACACGCGATAAATATTGAGCCCCAAAATATCTTGCTCCAGCTTTCATATACTTAACGATAAGTCAATATAGTAATTATCGTGGGACCTAGTAATTGCCCATGGCTGCTTGTGATAAATGATGTGAAAAGCTGACAGAGAGAGTGAGACAAAGGACAGACAGAGACAAAACGGGAACAGTGGACAGTGAGTCCCATGCGAGAAGTGAATATAGTCCACAGGCCAGAGCGCACGTACGTGTGTGTGTCCTGGCGCGTGTGAGGTGGTGTGTGGGCGTCGAGAGGGAAAGCTCATAAAACCCATGATCACACTGATGAGGTCACGGGGAGTGAAACCTGAGAAAGCCTTTCATTTCCTGTCTCATTCCATCCCTCGCTCCGTCCTCCATTCATCCACTGCGCCCCTACCCTCCTCAATACTCCCACTTTTCAACATCTCATGCCAAACGCAGAACAGTTCCATGGATATTGAGCTGTTTTTAGCCCAGTTAGCCCAGTAAATGCAAGTGTGTATTCTTTGCAGTTATTACAGTAAAATGCCACACCAGTAGTTTCTCTTTTCTACAGCTGGTAATCAGTTTGTCATAATAACAAATTTGGAAGTGCAATATATTGCTGTAAATATCGATGATAAGAGATAATATTAAAACTATTAAAAAATCATGAGCTGCAATAAATAAACCGCAGAATGAAACACTTTAGTACTTATTTTGCATCTGTAATGAGTCATAGAAGTTATATAAATAAATAAATACATTTGCTAAATAACCAAACATTTCCCAGTAGTGCAAAGAAAATGTACACATGATAAATACTGACCTCCAAAATTATTGTTCCAGCTTTCTGAACGATAAGTCAATAGTAATTTTCGTGACAGGCCTAGTTGGTGGGCATTAACAGTGAGCTGAACTGAAAAACAATACACAAACTTCTGATGAGATTAAAGTTGAATTGATTTTACCTTTCATGCTTTTAAAATCTTATATAAAAATGTGAGCCACAAATTATTTTCACAACCACTGGTATATCAGCAGTCCAGGTGATGTGAATCAATTTGGGTTTTTCCATGGCTGCTGCCGATACAGATTATCTAGAATACTGAGAAACCAAAGTCTGATAAGATCTGCCGATATTTTGGACCAATGTGTCTATTTTTCAGGCAGCAGACTGATGAAAACAAAATATTGGCCTCTGCTGGAGATATAAGGCCGATGTGGTAAAAGTCTAAATATCAGCCTGATAGCGGCAATTTAATTACAATGTACTTCAATTAAATAGAAGTGTTACTGCAGCTATTACTCAAAACTGTGCAAAATGTAGCAAAATAGTTTTTCAACTTCAAAGTCTACTCTGAAGCCAGTGGGAGAGGGCATTTATGTCAGTGGTAAACCGTCCTACCCCTGAGTAATTTTATGTTGAGAAAGGAAAGCTGACACTAACCAGTCTAAACCCACCGAGCCAATTACTGCCACAAAATACATAAATCAAGCAATGCCTGTTTTTTACTGTGCACCTGAGCAATACAAATGTCACTGCAGGTGCATTTGGTCTGGGCCTGGTGTTCCATATCTAACATTTTATCAACAGTACTAAAAATGAGTTTTGCTATTGCTTGGATAATTCTCAAAGTTTGGACACAGTTGACAGCACATGCAGGTCTACATTTAAAGTGGACAACTCAGACAATAACTTCATCAGCAACATTTTAACAACACCTGAGCTCGGTACCACAGCAGCTAAGGCACAGCAAAAGAGAACAGCTCAAAGTATTCCTCCTGTTTCATATCAAAGACTCATTACAGGTCAGTGTGTGCAGAAAACTACAGGGGCTAGAAGCACTCAGATTGCCGGGACTGTCTGTATGCTCACGTTTAGCGCAGGGAGGAAAATTAGACTTGGGGATCAGACTGAAAACAATGATAGCCATGTGCAGAGAGAGTGGAATATCTACAGACATGTGAGTCTAACAAACTGCCCAAGGGTGTTTGTAAAATAAAATGGCCACCTTGATTGTGAAACGGAAAGATGGTCAAATACTGTATGTAAACTGTGCTGATCATGTACATCATAAGCAAGCTGCCACATCTGATTAATGCTGATTGAACATCTCTTTGTGTCTGTGTGTCTCAAATAGATTTAATTTGTTTCCCAAAGGCGGAAACTGCGTGGATAAGTATGATTAGGTATTCAGCGCTCTGCATAGGGTTTCCCCAGGCTCTATGCATGCCATATTTTATGTATGCTTTTATTTATTCCACTTTCATAAAAACAAACAAATTAGATAATGTGGGTGGGGAGTCTGGGATTAATTTTGAAGCAGCTGATGAGTGTGTGTTTGTGTGTCCGGGGATAATTATGTCTGGGACCTGAAAAGCCTAAGGGCCTCACTGCAGTCTGCCTCAGTCTCTCCGTTAGAATTTCTGTCTATTCTCATCCCCCGATAGATCACTCAACCATCTACTCACAGTCTGATCTCAGGGAAGGAAGAGAGAAGAAATATTATCCTTATACAGGTGTTTTATATTAGTTCTTTAATATACTGACAAGGACAATTCAAACATACTACAAACAAAAAACGCTACGCATTGGCTTTTTTATTTTACATTAGTATAAACAATACAAAATTTTATCTATCAACAAAAAAATTATAAATGATATACAAAAAAATGAACTAGATTTAAAGGGACATTATGAAACTTTTATGGTGGGGGTCCACATGCTTGCATCAATGGAGATGTTTGGTTTGCCTTGTCTTGTATTTATTTCATTAGGTGTGTTTTTATTGTTTTATTTATTTATGCATTTTTAGTGTGTGTGTGAGTTTGCCTGTCCACAGATCTGACCAGTGCATCTCCAGAGATTAATGCCTTCCTGTGGAACACTCCAGGCAATCTTCATGGGAACAAGCAGTTGGTGGACCCTGCTGAGAAGTTGCGCAGTGCACCTAAGAAATCTTGGTTTTGGTCGAGTTTTGCATCATGAATAGTGTAATGTTAAACTATTGCAGTACCCTTATTAGGTCCAGTCCAATGCGCCCTCTCTGCTGGTCCACGTTAAGTACCCGGACCTCCACCCTCTCCCCAGGCCCTAGGACCAGGCTGCGGCGCCGTTGGCTCGGGGGCAGCTTATCCAGGGTGATTTTGCTTTTGTGGATGAGTCCGGAGCGTCCCACACCGATATCAACAAACGCCCCAAACAGAGCAGTGTTGTCCACCCGTCCCGTCAGCACCGCCCCCACCTGCAGGTCATTCATGGACACTACGCCGCGCTTAAAGTCCGCCTGCCTGAAGTCTGCGGATGGTACACAGTCCGGGAGAAGACAACAGGAAGAGGGGATGTGAGATAGTAAAGGGCAGAGCAGAAATCACAAACAGATTATATTTCCTCGCGAAACTCTAAACGTGTTCCTGTATACTTCTCTACATCCATCTTTCCTTTTCCATTGGCCTGCGCATGAGAGATGTCGTTTCCTCTCTGTAGCAAATAATACAAACAGGGAAGACTCTTGCCCCAGGAAATAGTCCAGTTCAATTATCCTCCCCACAGCACTGATTTCATGTGGTAGACCCAGCCCATCTGTTTACCCAGCTGAGTGGTGGCTGGCAGGCCGAGCGCGCTGCTCTGCAACCGAATAAGACCAACCTAAGAATGAACCTTGAAGCTGCTTTCCTTAATTTAACGTTAGCCTACACTTATGCTGCGTCCAAGTTTAAAGCTTTTTACACAAGAAAATAGCTGTCAAATCTAAACATGTTTTTTTTTTTTGCAGTAATCATCATCATATTTTCTTTTTTATGAATGAACAAAATTGCGATAAATATGATGTGACAAGTGCTGGAATCATTATGATGTAAGGTAAAGCCCCTGATACAAACTTTAGTCACTGGGCTTAAGTGAGGAAGCCAGTGCTTTTAGATCATATGATACAAATTCACAATAAGGTTTTACAGTAGGAACAATGGAATGTGTTTTATATTTTATGTTAAAGCTATTTGTTTAAGAAATTGCCAATCTAAAGGAGGTATTAACTTAAGTATAAAGAGAGCAGGTATTCTTACTTTGTCGTATGTCAAAGCCTGGGGGTTGTGTGAGCCCGTCTATGATGAGTTTGAGCGTCTCAGGGCTCGTGTCCATGGTCCTGGCCAGCTCCTCCACACTGCTGCTCTTGACTGTGTTGTCCACACATTGTGACAGTTTTACAGTCCCAATCTGGTCGGCAGTAGCACCCACAAGGGAGAGGAATCTATACAAAAAATATGTTGGTATTAATCACAAGCAATTATATGAAAAATAAAACATGGAAAAAGAACAGAACTAATTTGTGGGCATTAAGGTGTAAGAATAAATACATGGCAGTGGTATTGACGTGTGTAGGTGGGGTTGCTTTTAAAAACACAGACTTATTTAACCTTGTAGTAAATCGGTCAAATCCGCAGTGGGCTGTTAACGCTCTCACACCTAGACTCATGAAACAACCTCCACTTCTCCGAGGTTGGATAGTCGGTCTGTCCGTCAGCTGGCTTTAAGTATACCTTTCCACCGTTTTATTCAAGCAGGATGTCCCACCTTCCAAAATGTCTAGACCGCTCGCCAGGTTACACAATTTAAATTAGGTCATGTACACTAATAAAGACGCAGTTTGTTGGAAAATATTAAATTTAGAGTGTTGCAGTTTACAGTGGCCACTTTCCACACATGGTGAGAGATGTGAATGCGTTTGCTTGTGTGCATGTATGGACCAGCTGGGGGAGCGTGTATGATGGATGTCGCTCACTAGCTAGCCGCCTGACGCCAAACTGACTCTGCAGCTGTCCCCGCTCTGATGGACGCAACAGGTGGACATAGAAGCACGTATGCGCACAGTAAAAGTTGATTCACGCTCAAATGTTTTTTTCCGAAATGCTCATTTGGCAGTAGCGGGGACAGTGCGGATGTAACAGGACACGGCTTGTGTACAAACTATGTGTAAGACAGCTGTGAATGTGAAAACTCCCAAGTCAGCAATGTCACTATGGACAACTCTAGGCGGGAGACAAGCAGAGTCAATCTCTCAAAACATCTATGTCGAATGGAAGCAATACAGAAGCTGGTTATGCTCCAGAAAAGGGTTTAGAAGTACAGAAACAGCGGCTCAGGACCAAATGGATATCTGTCTAGTAGGAATCTTCTCTCCTCTGCTCCCCTGAATGTCTCCTGGATATCTCTTTACAGAACAAAACAGTTGGAAATGCAGGACGTTGCCAAATCAGCTTTACTAAAGACTCCAGAGTACAGTTTGTTGGGTGCGAACCTCAATCATTCATAAAAAAGAAAAATGTTGCACAAAAGCTTATGCTGTCCTGCTGAGAAATGTAAGAACCAGGTTTATAATGTCATCTCATTGCATATATATCTTAAGTATAACTATAATTCTTTGTCACATTTTCCTTTAGCACAATACCATACCTCACTCAGGTATGCTGGATAGTAGTGTTGTAGCTCAGAGTAAAGAAATGTTTCAGTAAATTAACTGTGCTATAAGATTACAATAATAGTAAACCAATATTTTCCTATTGATAAAGCAGCCAACTAATCCACTGAAGAAATGTAACAGTAGTGTAGTTATGATAAATACTACTTTATCATCGACTTATTGTTCAATATATGAAAAGCTGGAGCATTTTTTGGGGGGTTAGTATTTATCGTGGATACTTTTTCTTTGTGCTCCTGGGAATTTTTATTTTTTGGCTATACAATAAGATTTAAGCTGTAAAAGGCTTAATACATAGTTCTATGACTCATTACAGATACAAACTAAGTAATAAGTGTTTAATTATGCTATTTATCTATTGCAGTTAATTTTTTTTAACAATATTGTAGATTTAGAATATTTTTTGTGGTTTAAATCTGCTGTTAGGTTATTGAATCAGTGGCATAAATTAATGTTATCGTTTATCATCTATATTTACTTTAGCAATACATCACACTTGAAAATTTGTTATCGTGACAGGATTAAATATGTGCATCTCTAGCTACAAATGAATGGCCTACATACTTGTGTTTTATAAAGGTAGTGTTATTAATGTCACACAATGCTTACTTACTTATACTATATACTAAAATATGTTTAGATAGATTGCCTCAGGGTTTGACACACAGTTCTTGCCAAGTTCTTGCCAGGGTTATAATTATTAAAACAAACAAGGTTCTCCAATGTGGAATAGAAACGGGCAAAAAGATGTTTTTGATTTGCCCATCCATCTCAGGTGTATGGTAATATTTAGAGAGTTCTGTGAGTTCAGAGACCTCCTCCAACCCTGGTTTCAAACTCACATAATTACCACTATATGTGTGCACCCATTTTGTGAAGGTGGTTGGGTGGGCTTCGTTACAGATTTTATCCAGGCCCACAGCAAGAACCCACTCTGTCTTGTATTAGAGGAATATTGGGCCCCGACTGTTCCATATCAAAGGTATATTCTTCACAGCATGGACCCTTCTCTGTCGCATACCAGAAAAATATGCTTCATGCCAAGGGTCTCTTTGTACGACAACACATGTTTCAACTGCAGTTTTCATGTTAAATATTTCTTATGAAGTAATTTCCCAGTTTCATAAAACAATAAAATATTGTGCTAGAACAAAGGTAGATGAAAAGGCGTCTGTAAAATATATGTGTAGTGTGTGCGGTTGGGTTTCAAAAAGGGGATGATGTGTGGGCTGTGAGCAGTAATGGAGGATCTAGTTTCTCTAATGCGATGAACTTGATATTCTTTATACAGCATACACAGTGGCACAGACACACAGATACACAAACAACATTCCTCTACTAACTGCAATCACAATTGTAGGTGAGGATGTACTAGGACAAACAAGGTTTTCTTTTTTACTGTCAACATAATGGTTAGAACAAAGCAACATTATAACAAACATATATTTTACAATACAAGACATACAAATGTGTACATAAAAACAGCATTTTGGAAATATTAGCACAACAAACTTATGCGGAGAATGTGAATTTCACACTTTGACACAGAAGTCCAGAACTGTATAAAAAAATGGCCTACGGGAGTGTGACGTCATCCATAGCATTCAGCTTCAGTCAGATGAAGCTAACAAGGGTAGCAGTTATGGGACAAATTTGGAGCAGAGTTCCATATCAGGTATAGGAATTTATTTATGGACAAATTAGCAAAATAAAAACACCAGGATTATGAAGAGCGGGTTATTACGAAAATTTTAAGACCAAAATAACGAGGATCACTACAGCAGTTACAGAGAGAGGGGTGACAATTTTTCTGTGTAAAATCAATTAGAGCCAATGGAGAGCCAATGGAGTTAATGGAGCCAGAAGCGCTCCCATGTTCACTTCCTATTAGGAATGTGGCAACTAACAGGTCTATGGTCCAGAATGAGATTTTAGCTTTTTTTTTTTTATATACATATCTACATATCTACACCACAGCATGGCTGCTATTTTCACCCTGTAACCAATCACCAAGCAGTCATGGTTTTATCATTCAAACAATAATAAAAGGTTAATAAATACAAGCTCTCGTGCAACAGCAGAAAGATCATGGTCAAACTTATTACAAATAGCGTACCAGTGTTTTCAATCATTCATTCCATCACTGATATTTCAAACTGTAAAGAGCCAAGCAAACTTCTCATACATCACATCCACCAACACGTTCACTGGGGCCATTAAAGGCACATCAACACGAGAGAAGCCGTGCTCAAAACCACTAGTGTCAGAACGTATGTAGACTAAACACATTTGAGTGACTGCAGCTGGAGAAGTCAAGCCCCTCCTTCACGCTATGTTTATCTGTCCCTGTGTCCACATGTCTATCTTTTTCACAGTCTAAAACTTCGATACAAAAATAAGGCAATGGCAAGATGTTAAATGTGCTTTTATTACAAACTTAAAAATCACCCAGAGCATCCTTTAAGACACGCATAACAACAATCAGGACTCTTTTCTTGTAGTCTTGTCGGTATAAATCAAATCAGTACTTCCAACCACTATAACTAGGCCCATATGGAACAGTGTCTGAATGAACCCGGGCTGAGTGTATGCTTTTGGCCACGGGGCTATTGAAGACAGTGTAATGGTGTTTTTTGTTGTCATACCTCTGCGCTACATGGTAGGACTCGGGATGGATGCAGGTCTGGTCCATTGGATTAACAGTGGTTGAGACGGCAACACAGCTCTTTCCTTTACCCTTCTTTGTGCTTGTTTTCTCTGGGATCCCTGTTCTGGACTGAGGTAAGGAGCTGGAACTGTTTCAATGCAAATTAAAACATAGAAAGAACAAGTGTTGGTCAGATCTATAACATGAAATAATAAATTACTAGCTTTGGCAGTTGTGAATGTGTTTCTGTATGGAGACAAGTACCTCTCCAGAGTTTGAGGGTTGATCCTTATGAAGCCGGCGCACTGCTGGAAGGACTTGGGGCCCATTCCTTTGACCAGTTTGAGCTGCTCTCTGTTGATAAAGGGTCCATTTTGTTCCCTCCACTCAGTGATGTTTCTAGCTCTACCAGCATTAAGCCCAGCCACATGCCTGAATGAAACCCAGAAGAATGACAATATTAGGAAAAATGTGATACAATATACAACAACTCAAAACTCACTTTGTTTTTGTTTGTTCTGTCCTTGTTTTGTCAGGAATGTTAAACTATTCTAAAACGTCTTTGAGTTACAGTGAAAAGCATTCTATAAAACCAATGTATTAGTATTATTCCAACTGAATGTAAAAACTATTTGAATTTAAACTTTTCAAACCAAATAGCGAGAAGGATAAACAAGAGCTATATATATATTTTTTTAACATATACTGTATTTATTTTGTAAACAAACTTAGTAAAGGTTTCAATAAACCAATGATTATAACAAGTAAATCTTTGTTAAGAACACAATCCTATAGAAGCACTACAATTAGTTATTACAGTAGAAACATCACAATTTACTTTGAGCTAACAACTAATTTGCGACTGTGCCATAAGTTAGTGCTTAAGTCTGTAACGACATCTATTTCAACCATATTACAAAGAATGAAAAAGAATGCATAACGAAATAAAAAAGCACTTAAGAGCCGTTTATTTGTCCAGTTTTGGCAGAGCGACCATGAGAGGTGATTTGAGCCTAAATTACTCTCCTCTTGTTCACAGTACGTCACTCATTCGGCAACAGTGCCATGTCAACACCCTGCATAATACCTCAGTCATCAACACATCTGAGCGTAATACTGTGTGTGCGGCAGTGGTGGAAAAAGCTCCCTGGCAGGGCAGAGAAGTAAACAGATGACCTGATGCCCGCCACGCAGCTCATGCCAAGCTCATTTCTACCATTGTGAGTCCACTGGAAATATATGTTAAATAATTCTCACCCTTCTATACTGTTATTTGTGTAAGCTGTATGGAATATGGAATTTGGGCTTTTCTATATACGATTTTTTTAAATTCTTTGTTATTTTTAATTATAGCCTGTGAATGATGTATGCCCGTATAATGAATCTTACCTAATCCCCCTCTGTTAGTTACTAAGAAAGTGAGACCAGGGTGTGAAGCATTTGTCTAAACAGAAATTTGGCAGTCTGGCCATGTGTACTTGAAATAAAGCATCGCCATGTTGTGACTGCTGGGGGAAAATATCTCAGAGAGGAGGTCTGATCCTGTGCTCAGACCAGCAAAGTGGTTTAATAATGTCTACAGTATATGCAGATTTACTGTGCCAGTGCTTTACCTCATCAGTGTCTCAGAGCAGATGTTGATGTCCACTCCGACAAAACTCACACACTCCTGGACCACACCATCTAAAGCCGCTTTCAGGGCTCCAGCTGATACGTCATGCTGAAACACAAACATTTTTATATCATTGTGAATACTTTTTCCTGGATTATTAGAGAAACTAAAATATTGAACATATCCAAATGAGATGTTCTCTGCATTACATTACATTTCTCCTTACTTTTTGAATAGCATCATCATCGCATACAATAAAGCAATATAGAACACTCCTTTGACTCCGCTAAGGAATTTCATGTTTATTTATTTCCACACAGACAGACAAAAATATTCACTAAAATGATCTGTGCAAATACAAATCACTAGACAGAACTTTCATAAAAACAAATACTGATTAAATTAACAGTGTTGTTGTCTACTGCACAATGAGAGGAGCAGAAAAAGATGAAAATATTTAACTTGGCTTGTCAAAAAACAGTTGCGATTTAACTTGAGCCAAAAGATAAAAGAACAAGCATTTGGACATTTCACTCAGTCTAAACCACAAGACAAAACAATAGGATGAGAATGAACATTGGCCTATTATGGTAAGATCAAAAGAGTTGAAATCTATAAAGAATTGCTATCATCGTTCATACAGTGCATTACTATGGACGCACTAGTAGAGCAAACAACTGCAGATTAGATAATAACTTTCCACTACTCAGTTCAGTCCAAAATTATTCTTACTCCAGATTAATTTACAATTTAAGTATTTGTTAAAAGGTACAGTATGTAACTTTCTGGAGATATCACGTCACCTGCATGAAAAGTTAAAACCACGCCTCAGAACATTCTCTTTGGAGACAGAGGAAGTTTAATGCTATACTCTGGAAGATTATAGCCAAAGGAAAAGTTCAAAACATTTTCAGTGCAATAAAAAACAACCCCTCCAAAAATAAAATTTTATTTTTGTCTATTTTTTTGCTAAAATGTTACCTACTGTGGCTTTAAGTAATGTGTAGTTTTCTAGAGTTTTCTGTCTGAAAGTGAAGAGACAGACTGACTCAAGACTGTACAGCACAATTCTACACTAGAGCATTTAGTGAAAGAAAAGATCATTTATTAAATAGTATATATACAATACCATTTTCTATGTAATCACATTTAAAGAGTTTATATTTCATCATTGCTGTCAAATAAATTTTCGGACAAATGCATTTCAGCTTTGAGCAAATCGATGAAGGTTTTTGGACATATAATCTGGGTTTAGATGAATCTTTAATGTGTTCAAACAATTTAAAATATATCAAAATTAAACTATATTGTTTCCAGCCACAATTCAGCAGGGAAATTTTCAACAGAAGGATGGAGTTCAGGTTTAAGAAATATAACTTTTAAAAATTTGAAATTGTGATTGATTCCCGGTGATGGGATATTGGACACTGAGCGGACACAGGGAGAGGAAAGCACCTGTAATGTCACACCTGGGAGGAATGTATTCTCATGAGAAAAGTGGAGGCGTGAAAGAGTTTAACTGCAGTAAAACTCCAGTCAATGTGCTCTCGGATTCCAGCTGTAACCTTATATAGGTGAGACCATGACAGGAGGATCTGCATAAACGCATCACACACCTATTACAAACTAACCTGAATATGAACTTTGTAAATATGATACGCTATTATGGGCTGCAGTTTTTTATTAACTAGATTCAAAGTATCACGAAACATATAATCACTCACCCTGCAGGGGATCTGGATAGTGACAATTTTATAAGTCTGAGACAATTCCATATTATATCATAGAGTAGACCTTTGAGAGCTAATGAATACAGACCAGAGCATTTAGATCAATAAAGGCACAAAATGGCCATGATGCATTCTACATTCGATGGCCTTCTGTATCTGTATTGGATGCTTACTTTATTGGCAAAAAATAGGGTAGAGAATGGGGAGGGACATTCAGCAACTCAATATTATGATGACGCTGAGAAAGACAAGTGGCCCTGCATATGTGCTACAACTTAACCACTAAACCACACGGAAAACAAACTACTACTTTGGATTATTCCTGACAATTTCTATTTTTAGAAAAAGTAAAAATGTGTGCCCTGGTCTAAAAAATGTTTTACCCAACTAATAAAAAAGAGAAAGAGAAAATTTAGAGAGTGTGCCTCTGTCTGGCAGAAATGCTCAGAAGTGATATTCCACTCCAATGAAAACACTGAAAAGTAAAGTTGCTGAAATAAATCTTTATATGGTGCAAAAATGAACTGTTTGAGTAAAAATGTCAAATGGGAAAGACACAAAGTAAATACTATAGTTTAAAATACATTTCAGAATTATTATGGCTAGGGCATTGTCGTTTATCTGGAGCTTAAATAGTCAATAGCTTTTTGGTTCATTGGGATACATTTTCTTTGTGACAAAAACAAATGCTGTGGTCAGGTTTTAAAACTCAAAACTAAACAGGCAATGTTTTAAAATTTATCACTGCTCATTAGCTTTTGTAAGACTTTTGGATTATCCCAGTGACAAGAAGTTTGAGGTTATCTGACGGTCACATTAGTCCTGATTGACAGCTCCTTTAAGGCCCCTGAGAACTAGTATTTTACTATTCGAGGCATGCGGGTTTGGCTTCACATCTGTGTGTAGGTGTGCATGGATGAATAATGCACAGTTAACTTAGGCACCAGTCGTAAATCAGCCAGCGTAATTGATATGACACAGGAGATGGTTTTATGTTTTTTCTTACACCTCCCATGAATCTCTACCTCTCATCAATAGCTGTTTTTCCAACTTCCTGTCTGCAAACAATCGCATAGAGGGGACATAAGCCTGTGCACACTTGCTCATAACCTGCGGGGCTGCAAACTGGGGCATGAGAAAAAGAGACACCAGAATTGGTTTTCTAGAAATGACAAATACGTTAATCTTAGGAAGGTATAGTATAATATTACCAGTGCAAAATGGTGTCATGCAAACTCCTATAAATTACATTTTCCATGCTTTTTTGCAACAACAAAAATTATTATATATATTGTTAAATAATTATTAAATTGGCACATGCCTGTATTAATGTTTTAAACATTTGATTTAAGTGACAACCCAAAAAACAAACATACCCTCCCTGACAAACCTGGGGGACATTTAAAGACATTGTTTGGCAGGTTTAGTATCTAATCAAATCCCAAACAAGCACTTGTATTCCCACGCCTTAAACTTCTGGGCAGAACCTATCAATCACTGTCAGCACTCAATTTCTCCACCTCACTCCTTCCTCCTATTAGCTTTGTCTGCTCCTGTCTCCCCCGAAGGCACTATACCATTAAAGAAGAAATATGGCTGCAAGTTCAAGTGTGCTTCAAGACTAGTGTCCTCTATTACATTGTATTGTTATATTATTATAAACGTTTGCTTTTTTTGGTCTGTTTTAGGTATTCCCTGTGCAAATGTGGTTGTGCTAACCCGTAATACGAAGAAAAACTGCTGAGAGGAGATGACTAAATGCAAATGCTATCTGAAGGGTCCGAAAATGACTGACAGTTTCTTTAATATCCGGTTGGTGGGATATGTTTTCTTACACAGCAGTCAATGTGTGTGTGTTTTCCAGTAGCAGGTAGTTTCTGGGCTCGGGGAATTATCCAGCTGTCAGTACATCAACTCAAAGAAGTGACAGATGAACAAGGTGCCCACAACCACCGTCACTATCTTTAATAACTGCTGTAGTTATTATATAAAAAGCAGCACTGATATAAAATGGGTAGCTATTGCAATGTTAGCAAAAATCTTATAGCAGTGCTCAGTCAAACCCAATATGCCAATAAAGCCTGGTCTGTCAGTGCAAAGAAAACAGGGTTCCCACACCGATAGTTATGTCCAATCTGACTTTAATGGGCCACACTTTTTTAGCCCTCAGCTCATTTCCTTCGTTCTTTTAGAGCTGTCAGTCACTGGGTCAGCCGAGGGAGAGCCTGCTGTGCCAGCTGTCTAGAGTTACATCTTTCCTTATGCTTTTGGGATCTATTGGCAATAAACATTGAAAGGTCTCGCAATGTAAAAAACACACACACAGTGCATATACGTAGGAAGAGAGAGCACAAATCATAGTATTTTAAAACAATCTATAACCACACAGACCTGTGAAGCTTTGAGGCTGTGAATGGGAAGAAGAGCAGACCTGCAAATGTATGTGTGAGCTTGTGCACAGGTCAAAGTGATGTCCCATCTCATATCTGTCAGCACCCAAAGTTTATTTAGCCGGTTATATTATCATTTGTTGACCTAGTCACATGATCTGAGGGCGGGAGGTGCAGAAACCCAGGCACCCCAGGGAGTCCAGTCAGAATGTGATGAGAGACAAGGGCCCGGGTCCCATCACACAAACACAAACACTAAGACAATTTGACCTTCTTTTGTGTCAAATCAAGCTAAGTTTATTTATTTTATGAGAAAATATCTGTTTCAACAACCATTCAAATGCTTTTTTTGTTCATTGATACACTGTATGTATTTTTCATTGGAAAAAAGAAAATGTCAAAAATATGCTTTTTTTTTTGTTTTATATAAAAGATGTTTCATTGTTTTAGATATCTTAGACACTATTTTCATCATATGTATTTCTACTGAAAAACAAAGGCACTTACTTGGTATGTGCCAATGCCAATGTGTTTAGGATCAATTTTCACAAGCTCAGCCATTGGATCTTGAACTCGTCGTCCAATAGACACTGCACAACAAAGATGTATTATTGTCAGGGGGCATTATGCACAGTCCCCTGTAAAGCTTAATCACATTGGTTATTGCAAATGCAAATGCATATTATCAGGTATAATTAGAGAATATGATCATTACAAAGCTGGCCTAAGGGTAGGCTAAACCTAATTGTAATTTGCCACCCCCAATAATGATAATTTAAGTAGGCTTTTTGATCACCCTTCTGACCCTGTTTTAGGCTTAGTCATAAACCTGTTACAACACTAATATAACGCCATTCTTTGTTGGTTGAACCAGTTTTAATGCACACATTTTCTGTACTGGAACATTGCGTTAAGAGAATTAAATTGTCAAGGTAGAAAAGACAAAGAAATGGGGATGTAACAGAGGCAATATGTCTGGAATCACTGGTTCTCCGCTCTGGGCTCTGGCTGCGGTGGGAGGCTGCTGCCTGAGATAATATTTAGACAGGGATGGAGTTTCAGCCCTGGCCTTGCTCTGTACACCACCAAAATGATCCTATATTCTTCTCTCTTTTTCTGAAAAACTTCTTCGCACTTATTTGTAAATGGATTCCAGTGACTCTGCAGCACTTATCTGAAGCCCTAAAACTAAACTCAGATGAAATTAAAGAGAAAGTAGAGCAAAAAGGACCAGCACTCACAGTTTATATACACGAGATGTCAGGATGAAGGCTCAAAATAGAACAAGGCTAAGTTAAAGCTATGATATAATAGTTTATTAAATGCATAAAAAATGTGATGCTGAATTGCACTTTTTATATTGTATGTGGTCTAAGGACTGTGAACCATGCTGACCACTAGGTGTCTCTGTGGTGCACTAAATTAAAGCATGTCAGAGTCAAATGTATTTCATACCATAAAATACAACACCATGCAAAACACAATTCAAGAACATTCTCTGTTTAATCTGCCCAAGAGTCAAAACCTGTGTATTTCTGCTGGCTTTCATTAAGGGTATAAGTATGGCTCTGAGCTGCTGACCACAGGAAACTAGTGAGGAATAATCCAGCCGCACTCCATTTACTGCTTTCAAACGGGAAGTCTGTAGAAAACATTTGTTCACCAAAATCCCAAGCAATCGTTTATATAGCGTGTACTATTAATTTTGGTGTGTCAAAGAAGTGGATGAAACAAGTTAGAGGCAGCAGGGAAATAGGTCAATATCAATAGGAATATGACATAGGATGTCTGTTAATGGTGTGCATTTGCTCTTGCTTTAGTGCTTTAATTTTCACACAAACTATACATCTATGCTGAATGACACTGAGCATACCTGCACTCCTTAGATTAGGATCCAGGTCTGGCATTTCTTTGACAGCCTCAGGACTGACACTGTAGATTGAAGCTCCTGCCTCATTGGTTATACTAAGATAGAGAGAGAAGATCACATGTTCATTTGGTCAGTTAGGTACTACGCAAAATTAGAATAACATTTAACTACATAAAATAATGCATACATTCTCCTTAGGTCTACGCAAATCTATGTGGTTAATACAAATATCTTCAAATTTTGTCTGGAAATCAGAGCTCAGTTTGCAGCTACAACTTTCCAGCTTCTATTCATATGTTACTGCTGACCTCTTGAGGTCATTTAAAGTACTGCAGTTGACTTTTTAGTCACAAAGACATGTCACTGTAAAATGGATTTTACATTGTTGCATATCTTGGCATGAGTTCAAATCTAAATATTTTATTCTTTTCATTTTAATTCAGATGTGCAACTTTTTCCATTGAATAAAAACTGTAAACATTAGTTTTTTATGTTTTAAAAAAAATAATAATAATAATAATTACTAAATATACAGAATATCAGAATTAAAATATTTTAGTTAAAAAAAAAATTCCATGGTTATAACTCATGTGACCAATAAATTATGGATAATGTAGAATGTAGAATTTATTATATTCTTCAGAAAACATTCTGTAATGTATCACTGAATGGGAAGATGTGATAGTGATCTGAAGTCAGTACTAAAAGAGATGGCAACAAAATGTTTAGCTCTTTATTTGTTTGCTGCATAGAAATAATGCCAATACATAGCGTGAACAGGGGCATTTTCCTCTGACTGAGTAGGTCAGAACCTCTTCAATCCCCATAGTGGTGGATACTCTTCCCTGATACGTAAACAGACAAACGGGCTGACCCAGGGGCCTGGACTCTCAGTAACCTTGCCAATTAAGAATAACTCCTTAATGAGGAGTGGCACAAGATGTCTGATGACAATCACATTTAAATTAACATGTCCTCCTTATATTCAGTATTGTCTCTATTCATTGCCTCTTTGTTTTGTCAGCTTTCACTCGTCGTCCTGACAGCTGACATATCGCCATGGTGACGCTGTTAACGAGCACTGGCACATGACCTTCAGCGAGGTCAGAGGAGCACTGGTCATTAGGCTCATCCTACATATGCATGCACACCAAAACAAAATTATGCACACGTCAAACAAAGCATGCTTTTCACATGTAAACCACTCAATTCAATTCGAATCCACCAGACCTACACTTTGTTGTCAAGGCCTCACTGAGAGAATAGACTGCAGTTTTTCAATTTGAATTTCAATAAAGTAGCTACATTTAAAAAAGCAGAGACAAATTATTTGTATAAATGGCCACTAGTCCCTATCATGTCCAACCTAATTAAGTTGGCCAGTAGGGCAGCTGGGTAACAGTACTGTCACAGATACAGCTCAAAGCTCTCATCATTACCGCATCCTTGTTGCCATAGCGCGAACATTAGTGTGGCAGCCACCAGAAGGTTATCTGCTCCCCGTCTCTGTGGCCAAAGCCCATGGATAGCTGATGTGTGGACAATGTCAATAGCCTCTTGGTGTAAAGTGATGACCTGGTGGGCCTTGGGGTTGTCATTTATTCATCCACTCCTTATTTCTATCAGCACTATCCACATGAACAGAGCCTTGAGCCCTGTCTCGTCCTGGGGCAAAGTCACAAACGGCCATTCTAAACAGGTCATCTTTGAGACAGAGCCACGAGACACAGAGTAATAATGACTGACCCTCACTGCCCCACTACACAACACATACTCAGGGAGATGGATACACACTTTGATACCTCATTGTAGCCTTCTGGCACTTGTAGCCCTAATCTAAATTAAAAACAGCTCATCAGATCAGTCAAAAAGAACAAGGGCAAAGCCATGACCTGATGAAGACTGCAACAAGCAGAAGTGGGGAAAATCTTCACCATAAGCTGCCCTTACTTTATTATATTTTTGACCAAATATAACTTTTAAATTTTAGGTCAGCTCATTCATTACAATATATGACAACATTTGATGAATAAATGTGTGCAAGAATTCCAACCAGAAACAAGGGAAGTGGCCCCAGAATATGATGAGGTACTTGCATAACTTAAATTGTATTCTGAATAAGCCAGTCATGATAATTGCTATCAACCTATCAACTTTTGAAATACAGAATGACATTTTTTTTTTCATTTATTTATTCCAACTCATGTAATAATGTATATATAATTTTTTGGGGGCGGGGATCCTGTTTTACAGTTATTGTGGCATAATGGCTAAACATTTTAATTCATAGCAAATTCAATAAATACAAAACGCAGATCAAAAGAGACAAACAGAAGAAAAAAACAAAAGGTTTTCACTTTTACTATTTGTCAATAACATGAGGATAAAGTCTGAAGAGTCTGGAGAATCTACATCTACACTCACAGAAGTTTGTCTGTCCCAGCTGCTCAAACAGCTTGGCTCCATTGTTCAGTCAGCTGCAAAGCTTGACCCGAGGCGGACAAACTGAGGGAGGCACCAAGTCAGCCACACAGACGCACACACACACGTCGGCTCTGAGGACGATGACATTTTTCACAGAGAAAAGCGTCCAAATGGCAGGTGTCAGGGGCCGTCAGTCTCTAGTAAGGAGCTCCAAGGCACCACAGCGTGGACACACACATACACGCGTAAGTCCAACTGCTATAGCAAACACTCACACAAGTCCACTGCTACAGTGCACACACACACACAAACACACGCACGCACACGCACACACACACACACACACACACACACACAAAAGTCCAACTGCCAGGCTAAAGCACATCTGAAAAGAGCAAAGCCTCAAAGACACTTATGTCAATCTGGAGGAGAAAGGCCTGCACTCATGCCACACATAAACACAAATACACAGACAGCAATCAACTCACAACTAAAACTACAAGTACACACACTCCTCCTACAAGCTGTACAACAGGACTGTCCCCTAAAACAGTCAAACCCTAAGGGAGGGAGGACTGGTGGCAGAGGAGAGATATGGGACACAAAACACTGCTGCATTTAAAGATGTTCTGGAGCAACGATGAATGTTGAGTAGTTTTATTTAAACTTTATTTTCATGCATTTATTTAATTTACTAAATGCAGTAACAGCAAAGATACCTAACATCATTGTAATAGTTTTTATGCTGATCTAGACATAAAGCAGGGCATATCATGGCTTGACACTGCACTTATATAAGAATATCTTTATGGTATAAATGAATAACATTAATCATGACTGCAACACATTAATGTTCACCCAGTGGGGTTACTCCAACTGTATGCAACTTGCAAGAAAAGTATTTGCATATTTCCTTTTTATATATGATATATAAAAATAATATATAAACATAAAATGCAGTTTAATTATTATGAATTACTTTCTATATTAAGATAAGTACAACCCGATGTGTGGAAGTGTAATTATGCCTTGTGATGAACCACAGTTTTTGGAAGGCTGAGTTCAATTTCACTGGTCTCACCTCGGCTTAATTAGCATTAGGGGCTGAAGCTGAAATCTTAAAAAAAACATAATCCAAAGTGAAATCCAACCTAAAAAAATAGATATACAAATGGTTTGATGATCAGAAACATTTTATGTGTTAAAAATGCAAACTAATCTGAAATCAATAGGGGTACTAACTTTCTACTGTATCTGCATAACTGAATGTCTATATAAAACACAAGTGAAACAGGAGCGCTGACCGCCTCAGAGTGCATGTGTCCCTTTACACCTCCTCCTTGCAGCTCTTAAATCATGGCTGATGCCTAAATGCCTGCTGTAGCTCAGTGATGACTGGTCCTGCCACACTATGTTCATCACCAGGGCCCTGGGAGCACGGTGGGACACAGGCCGAGACAGATACACATGAATATAGGCTCTGCCACTGACCCCCAGCTCTACAGCTGGACAGTAATAATGATCTCATCCCAACGGGAGCACAGGGCCAGACACTCAAGGACTCAGCATTTACTGTATGCACTGTATGGGGTCTCAAAGAGTTGTTCCACATGAAAATGTGCTATTAACTCAATGATTGTCTACTCCACTATTAGCCTAAGACAATTTTTGGCTAAATGATACAAGCATAAAATTCTCTACAAATATTCCTGATCCAAGAATGCCACCTGATCATGTCCAGAGAGACATTGTATAATTCTGTCACAAGCATGTGTGAGTATATGACCTTCTCAGTTCCACTATGAGATTGAAGATCCCCCCCAAAAAGATTTTTCAGATCCAAGGACCAAACTGGATTTGGTTGGTCCAAAACAATTAAATTTTAATGTTCATTAAAATACTTGTGAAAAAAGTGAATAACAATATCAAATCAGGCCTTTCTGATACTGGTTTATTTACAGCCTGTGTCTTCTGGAAATGCCCATTGGAATTTGTGGGTAATCCTATTTAGAACCAATAGTAACATCAGTAAAGTAACATACAGGTTATTTATTTCTGGCACATTATTTTGAAATCCACATATTTGATTGGATAAGGTGTTTTAATGATCTGATTCGGAAATGGGCTCTAAAACGTTATTTTACATATCAAAGACACACCAGTGCTTTGATAACAGAATGGATTTTAACACATAACAGCCTGTCTCTCCTTTGCTGAATATCTGAGGGTCATCTTATCAGCTGTGACAAAGTGCTCTACCAGTCAGAGCTAAAACACAATGACAGACAAGGTCAAGTTGAAGTGGTGCATCAAAGAACCAAAAGAAAAGCCTACACCAAGCTGCTTGGTGGGTGGTGTGCTGATGGCAGCAGGTCTAACAATCCTAATCCCACAATCATCAAGATTTATTTTCAAAGATTTATTGAAGATAATGTCAAGAGAGCTTTAAAATGAGTAAAATCTGTGACAAGTAACTGAGGCTCTCTATGAGGCTTCATAGAGTGATCTTAGTTGGTTACTGTTAATGGTTCGCTGCTCGGCAGATTTTACAATTACTCTCTTGAATATTATCTGTTTCTGTAGATATGCTAAGGGTAAAGGTTTTAAATACATAAACAATCTGATCTAATACATTATATTTATGTATTAGATCTGAGTTAGGATTCAGTGTATCGCATTATCTATATTATAGATAATATTTATATTTACAGTGAATCACATTGGTCCGCACACACATACACACACAACTGCTGGGTCCCACAGGCAGCCATTTCTGGCTGTCATTCCAGCTGAGCAGTGAGGCAGAAGGACAGAGAAAAAGACAAGAGGGAGGAGGGAAGAGAGGGAGATAGGGATAAATAGAGAAAAAGAGAGAGAGGCAGGGGTTGTGGACAGCAACAGTGAAGGCTCATCGGTAGACAAGAAGCAGACGCTCTGAATGAGCCAGAGCTTCCTAATGAACTCAACTGTCAAGGCTGAGAGGCACTGGCTATTTACAATAACACAGCATGTGTTTACAAAACAGTTTATTTGTAAGGGGGAGAAATAGCTATTTTATTTAGAGATTGAGCAATTGTTTTAATAAAAAAATACACTTAAATATTAAAACATTTGTTTTCTATGGCCATTTATCTACTCTAAAATGTTTACAATATTTCCATCATCTGAATGGGTTCCAAAACTATGCCAAAACAACATAAACTGAATTCACATGGAAAACAAAACAAAAAACATATGTTTGAGTTTGTATTTTCAAACCCATACTTGGCCTACTATTATTATATGTTTTTGCCTTGGCCAAAGTGACGTAAGTGGGGCCAGAACTATCAAAGACAATTCAAAGATTTGTACATTCTACAAAACATTAAATGCCAATGGCTCAGAAAAAACAGTGACATAGTATCTGCCATATTAACTGCCCTTAAAAGAAAAGAGTGTAGTCATGCTTGTATAAATGTCACTAGATATAAAATCATTATTACAGAAACTGTATGAGCTGTTTAAATGTATCAAATGTATCCATAGAGGCTGTGGACACCGTATACAAAAGCAGAAATCCAACAAAGCTCAAGTCAGCAAACATGCACAGAAGCGAGGGCAGGGACAGAAAAAGGTGAAGTGGGGAGAGGCGTGCGGTTTCTGTGTTTGGACCAAGGTTCAGTGAAGTTGTGTCTGACTGGTCTGAGTTAACAGTAGAATACAACACGGACCAGAAGGGTCTGTTTAACTGAACCAACAAAGTTCACGTGGCCTTAACAGATAATGCTTGTTTAAGAGATGCATTCCTGCTCTTTCCTCACATCTCTTTCAATTTTGTATTTAAACCAAAACAATAAATCTAAACCAGTTCGGGAGAAATGTAACCATATTTAGACATTTTTACAATGCTTTTCCCTGGGAAGCAGTATATGGTCAATTTACTGATGTTTCTTTATATGCCTGAAACTTATTATAAGTAAATACTATTTTTTTAATGATGCATATTTGTATAATACTATAGTTATAGTAACATTTACGGTAGTTGAAAGTGAAAGAACAGCTGTAGACAAAATTACACAACCAATAAGGGCTTACCAGTAGGATACATCCAAAGGGTGGAAGTAATGTCTGGAGATGAGATCAGTAAAGAATGACTCTGTTTCACGACATGCTGTCCCATTGCCAATCACAATCTTTGTACACCTGAAAGCAAAATAATTATTCAGTACTATTAATAATAATTGTTTAGTTTTTTTTAAGTATCAAACTGTCTATTGACATTTTTACAATTTCATTATATTTGTATCCAGGTTCATTTAACATGTGCAGCACTTTAGGGCAGTGTGTCTGTCTATAAATTGAACTTATTAAGGTTGTTATATAAAAGAAATTATTAGCAACAACAAATAATTCCAAGCTAATTGTTTGTAGTATTGTCTATTAATAACTGTAAAACCATCCTAAAGCAGTAACCAGTTATACCCATATTTAATCAGAAGGTGGCGCAGCTTTTCAGCTTCTTGGTTCTTGCCAGAATTGTGCAGGTAGAACACATCAGTATGGAGAATTTGACCTGAGAGATGACAGAAACAGGGACATGTCATGTATTTTGTGCTATTATATTTAGTGCTGTCATGCGATAAAAAAAATGGAGAGATTAATTAATTATGATCTGTAATTAATTAATCTAATTCATCTCTTTTTAATCTCACCTAAAAAATGCTGAGAAAAGCCTTCAATTTGAGGTATTTTCATTTAAATTCTTTATTACATTATTGTGGCAGATCAAAAGACTGATATAGAACAAAAAAAAGTGACTTTATAAAGTCATTTATTGTTTAACAAACTTTAACAGATGCAGTCACTTACATTCCACAGTATCATCATTATTATTGCTATTACTAATCTGCAGTGTTGGGAAGGTTACTTTTAAAATGTATTCCCCTACAGATTACATATCCCAAAATGTAGTTTGTAACTTAATCCATTTAATTACTTAAAGTGAGTAACGTAATTTGAATACTTTGGATTACTTGATATTGTCATGCTTTTTAAAACTACATGAATGTAGCAACTGCATCCTGCAAATGTTGTTCTTGTTTGTTCTCTTCAAATTGGCTGTTGAGCCCAAGTCTCCATGAATAAGAAACTGTTTGCTGTAAAGTAGCAAAGACTAGGAAATCTGAACATAATAACTTTTGTCTACTTAAACACAATAAAAAGTCCAGTCTTTCCTTAACCATATTAAAAATATTATTGATAGAGAAATGCTTTATATGAGATATGAGATCACTGGTGTTAGTCCTGGTTTAGACCTGCTTTAGTCCTACTTTAGTCCTAGTTTAGTCCTGGTATGGGTTAGTCCTGATTTTAGTCCTGGTGTTAGTTCTGGTTTAGTCCTGGTTTAGACCTGGTTTAGACCTGGTTTAGACCTGGTTTAGACCTGGTTTAGACCTGGTTTTAGTTCTGGTTTTAGTTCTGGTTTAGTCCTGGTTTAGTCCTGGTTTAGTCCTGGTTTAGACCTGGTTTAGACCTGGTTTAGACCTGGTTTAGACCTGGTTTTAGTTCTGGTTTTAGTTCTGGTTTAGTCCTGGTTTAGATGTGGTTTAGACCTGGTTTTAGTTCTGGTTTTAGTTCTGGTTTAGTCCTGGTTTAGTCCTGGTTTAGTCCTGGTTTAGATCTGGTTTAGTCCTGGTTTAGTCCTGGACTGGGTTACTCCCGGTTTTAGTCTTGGTGTTAGTGCTGGTTTAGAGGTGCACAGGAGGAAGCGTGGTTAGCGTACGCGAGAAAACGTACGCGGCGCACGGGAGGACAGCGGTGTTCGCGCAGCAACGGAAACGTGGTCCGCGCGTTCTCAGGTTAATGATGATGATGAAGGTGTGTGTTTGTGTTTGTGTGCGTATCCCCTCATGTGGCAGGTCACTATAGGACAGTAGTGCAGACATCATGAGCCTATGCAGGTTGTTTTCACCAGTGACGTTTAAGTTGTAGGCGATTTTATATTTGTTATTTTCTTTTATATTTCACGTCGGGAGAATAATTTCCAAGACACGAATGCGTTTTTACCTGTGCACTGCTGCCTCTGTTCTACTGGCTCTTCGACCTCGTCCATTGTGCGACTGACGCCGTAAACATTAACATGACGTTTACATCGCTCTTACTGCGCGCGTTTTGTGTGGGTTTCCGGCAATGAGTGGAATTACCGAAATAAAAAAATATATAAATATGTTTTTTTTGTGTGTGTACTGTTGTCCCAACAGCACATAAAAATAGATTTTATAATAAAGCAACTCGCATACAGAAACAGTAAAGTTAGAGATTAAAAATGAGATTAACGCAATTAAAAAACATAACGCGCTAAATATGACTGTAATTAATTAACAACAATTAACGTGATAATTTGACACCCCTAATTATATTTATTTAAAATAGGTCTAAAGATGAATAGTATCTCGACAAATTCCATTTTTGTGACTTGTAATTGTGCTGGAGAGAAACAGTCAATCACACAGGGAGGGGCTTCCACCATAACACAGTTTGAAACGCACCTGCTGTGTTACAAGCTGTGACATGATGCTCACAGAGAATACTGTAAAATACTGGCCACAGTATTTCTGCAAAGTAATGGAGCTGACTTACTTGTAGGGGATAGGATTGCCACCTTACAGCCGTGTTTGAATCCTGGGTCCACACCCATAAGCACACAGCCCCGGACTGGTCCAGCCAGGAGACGCTGGCGGAGATTACGAACAAACATAGCAATAGACTCTTTCTCTGCTGACGTTGTAAGTTTGGTCCTGAAGGAAAAAACAGTATTTCAATAGCAAAATAATAAAGCGAATATGTTATACATATATATATATTTTTTTTTTACCAAAAATCACCTGTACCTGTAACATCTGGTTAGGAAAGGCAAAATGAGTCTCTTATAAGAGTCCTCTACTGCATTCTTAATGATAACTCGGATCTCCTCACTGGCAAAGGTCTTTGATCTCCATCTGAGTAAAACATGATTATTGAGTTTTTTTGTATAGTATTTTTTAGTATATATTATTTTTTAGCATTTTAATATGGAATTCTACTTATCTGACCTGTTGTTAATACACCACGTAGTGAAGTCAGTCTTCACTCTGTCAGGGATGTTCATCTTCACTGACAGTATTTTCAGACTCTCCCCTCGATTAATCGCCAGCGTCTAAACATAAGACAATTCAAATGGTTTGATTGCATTTGCATGGAAATAGTCAAGTACAAATCAAATATAGAAATTCAACATCTTAAAGAATGCAGCACATATAACTTTCACAGAACATATAAATGTCTATCTATTTATTTTTTATATATTTCCATCTACATCTATGAAATCATTGACGAATATGTGTAGTGTTATGTTCCGGGCAGCCTCAAAGGCCCTGTTACATTCTGTTATGCAAACACTAGTCAGTGTATGACCTTTTCATGAGGAACCTTTTGCTCAACACAAAACAGAGCTACAAACAAGATGTCAATCTGGAGCCCAAGCGGAAGAAGAGAGCTGACAAATGCCCCACAATCCCACCATCAGCACTAAGACTGCAAGGTGTACCCCACCAACCTACACAAGTGTGGCTGCAACCATAACAACAACAAACTAACGACAAATAGATGTAAAACACAGCTAATGGCACAAAGCAGAATTAAAGCAGCAGCATCGCCTGAATTATGATGAAAGTTGGACTTAGTTTCTTTTGGCATGTTTCAGCCTCAGGCACACACAGTGACTGTGATGAGATTTCTCAAACTATTTCCATCAAACTACACACGACCCAAACAGTCTATTGACCAAAGTTTGCATCCACAAGTGTAACATTTATAAGTCAGTTAGTATTAGAGCACTTTTGCTGGGTGAGTGGTGAGATGGAGAATAGGCCAAAAGAGTTGTTGAACTGTTCCAGATATTTGCCAGATCACATTCACATTCTTTAGCACTAGAAAAATATTACATTTAAAATTATTATAAAAATTGAAATTAATAAAAGCATTTTACTGCTTACAAGCATGAGGTCTGTTTAAATGTTCTAATATACATGCGGAGACCATATAAAAGCAACACACGTTACAATGAGTTCTTCATTTCATGATTGGTATTATGAACCCCCAGAAGCCCTTGTGTACATTCCTCACTTTCTGTGTGAGACGAGTCAGTGGCAGGAGACATAGGGTGATCTGGACACAGACACTCTGTGAGATGGGGTAAGAGGTGTGCGCTCTTGATTTAGATGAGGCAGGAGTGACAGGTAGCGTGGTACTGGCCAAATCTTGATGAGACCAGACAGTCTTTCATAGATGCTCCATCACATTTTCTTTCGCCCCTAAGCCAAGGAAGTGTGCCAGGACAAGTCCACTCCATCTCTTTGGCTATCTCACCCTCTGTTTGGAATAATATTTTCATACACACGTCTATCACTCCAACGATACACAAAGCATACATTTCACAACAAGAAGTTTACTAGGAGATTCAGTCAGTCAAAGCTGCTCATATGTATACAATTGGATTTTCAGTCCATAAATATGAAATAAATTAAAACATCTGATACTGTACCAATAAAGTAGAACTAGAGAGGACTCATAGTCCAACTAAGTGTGACAAGTCTATGAATATAGCCCAAGTGTTAAACCATCATTAGATCACAAAGCAAGTCAAATTAAAAATCTCCTGCTGCACAATCAACAAATCTACTGTGGCATGACCACTTCCTGTTGCTGTAAGCTAAAGAAGCTTTGAATCCTCTCTGGCATACTGCATTCAGGACATAAATACGCCTATCTTTAATCCTTTAGGACACAAACACTTTCAATTATATTTAGTAACGTGAAGATGGAAATAATGAATTTAAACACTCTTCATTAGGTAATTTTTGGGGTGCAAACATCACAGACCGGTAAAACTTCAATTTCTGATTCTACAATCTGTATTTTTGTAACAAATCAGTAGTTAGGGATTTTAAAAAATTGACAACTAATGGAGAACTGAGTGCTTCCACACAAGTCTCCTGTCAAAACACATCTCCCACCTATTCTCCTTGCTGCTGAGTTGACGGCTCGAAAGGTTTGTTTTAGCCGGAATCTGACAGCTCGCAGGGTCACAGCCGCCTGTGGATTAACACTCCGTGACAAAGGCGAGTCATCGAATTAAATACCTTGCATTGGAGATGGGGGGTAAGGGGAGGTGTGCAAAACCAGGGCTGCAGTCAGATTGGGCACAAGTACGAGAGAGAGAGAGAAGTAATGGACGCAACTCAACGTCATTCACTGGCACTCAGTGCTGCCCCCTCCCTCTCTCCCCTCCTTCCAGCTGCCTGTGGGCCCAACAGCAGAAGCTGTCACTACAAGAGAGCGCCTGTCAATCAAGGCCTCCTAATCCAATGGCATGTCGGCAGGGGACATGTCACATATGTTAAGAGGAGGGAATGAGGGGACTTGCAGGGTAAATGTGTGTGTGTGTGCCTCAGTCTATGTGTGCGTATTAGGATGACTTCAGGCCAGAGCACCCTGCCAAAGAGTGTGGTGCGGCAGAGAGGCGACTGGTGATGGAAGCTGTGGTGACACAAGAGGCCTAGGACCAACTCTGAGTAACCCACCAGTCACTACCGGCACACAGGGGGCAGCGCATAGCACAGGAGGGGTAAGTATGAAGGCTCAGAGCAGGCTAACTGCACATGACATGACTAACATTCAGAAGAGGCATGTACTGGGACAGCCACAAACCCAGATGTACAGATTTGTTTAGCAACATACAAGTTTGATAGTTAAAAAAGTTCAGTTTAGTATTGAAGCATTGCATTCATCCCAGAAAAGAATGCACAGCATATAAAAAAAAAGAAAAGAAAACTTCCATCAAGAATCAAAGTATATATATATATTTTTTAAAGTTTTTAAGAGTGCGTCATAGCCTACAATAAAAACAGCTTTTCAAGCCACCAACAAAAGCATAGAATTTGATCAAGTTCATAATGTATGCAATAGCCCGCCCATGAAGATCTCTGAACTTGATTCAGGTTTATTCTGTACGAAACAGGAAATTAAGGGGCAATAAAGAGTCTAAAAGCTAAATTTTGGACTACCTGCAGACAAACTAAATACCTCTTATTAAGACAGATGAACAGGCTGCATATCTATATGCACTTATAGAAGGCACTTGAGTTCTTGTTGCATTAATCATCATTTCAAATGCTTTAGTGATACATTTTGTCAAGATTTATAAATGCTTTATATCTTAAGATTCAAAAGTATAACATTTGCAACATGTCTGCATAGTTACCTGGTGAGGCTGGATGCGCTGAATGCTGCAGGTGAAGTCAAAATAAAGGCTGAATTTGTCCATGTCTTGTTTTTTGTTTTGTTGTAACCCAGGCTTTGAATGATTTGGCTCTTTGTCTTTTAGTGCAGTTTTAGACACAGTTGACTGAATTGTGATGTGGCTTTTCTCACACCTGGATTTTTTTTTACAATTTAAATATTAGTATGAAAGAAGTGAATACATTAAATTTAAGTTGCCTTGGTGTTATCTTACAGGTCTTTCACATAAGTTAAGGTGTCAGGGTCTTTGGCCATCATATCAGCCAATATATGCTCAACTCCAGTGGCTACTTCTCCAACAGTTGAAAGGCCTGCATATGATTAGAATAAATCCCTGTTAGATGTCCTCACAACATACACAAAAACAATCTAAATAATCTTTAACAATCTCTTACCCTCAGTACCAGGCTGAACCCATTTATGCAAGTTCAACATGTGTGGGCTTTCCAAAAGGGTAGAAGCAGCCTCTTCAAGACCAAGTGCTTTAGCCCTGCGAGCCTTTGTTAATTTACTGCCTTTTTTGTATGGAGTATACTAAAATACAATTTTAAAAAAGAGTGTTGTTGTCAGTATTTAAATGACAAGGGCAGTAAATAACAGGTAATATGATTGTAACTGTTATGTTAAAAGCTTTATTAAACATAAATTACTGTCTTTTAGTTTACTGGCATGTAACATAATAGAAAATTGTATCCATTAATTAACATGTGTATTACCAGATGATCCAGTTCATCTGCAGATCTACAGTTTCTTAGGTTTTGCTCAAGCTCCGCTGTCAAATTCCCATCTTTCTTCAGGGTCTGAATCATAGATTGAATCTTCTTAGCCAATGCACTGAATAAAATAACAAAAAAAGAGCTTGTATACACATAAACATATCTTCAAGCCAAGAAATTTAGACGTGTTTAATTTGGGTGTAGAATTTTGAAATGTTACTGAATTACTCTGGACATCTACCACCATCTAGTGGAAAGTCCTCAAACAACATGCAATTTACTTAGTTGAATTTCATCTAGCATATTTTTTTTACTCACTTTGGAATCATACACATACACTATGAACACAGAAACTATTCAATATGCACCGTATATAAACTTTAATATAATATAATATAAATAAACTTATAAATTGTTGAATGTTTGAAAGAAAAATCATTGTAAGGGTAAATACTGGTAGATATTATTGTATACTTAATTAATTACTCACCATAAGTCCTCATAAACCAACTGTACATCCCTAACAGCATCAGCATCCATGTGATTAATCATATCTTTGCGATAACGGACCATAAAAGGCACTGTGTTCTCCTCCTGCAGTAGTGTCACAATATTCACACAAACCCACCGCTCCACACTCGTCAGAGTGGACAAAACCTGTGATGAAAAATAAAATGTTTACTTAGAATGTGAAAGGAAAAAAGCCAGACAGATGTATCTATAAATTACCTCTATTAGATCCCAATTCATGTTGAGCTGATTCCTCAAAGACTTGGCTAGAGGAGATCGTAAAATGCCTGGAAGTTGCTGGCCACTTATCACCTGCTTCAATACACAAGGATCTTCAAATGTGAAATCTTCTTGTTGTTCTTTCTTTACAGAATAGTCAAGAGATGATGGCCCTTCCTCTACAAATCTGTTCTCCTGATGGGCTTCTGACACAGCGAATGACAGTCGCTACAAAGAAAGGGAACATACGTACCCTGCAATGATCATCTTCCAATAGATTTAGTTGTTACATTAAATTCTTACCTCTTGCTTCATTTTGGCTGGCCTAGGTTCATCTGACTTCTCACCTTTGAGGCCATCAGCTGTTGTCTGTTCATTTTGATACTGGACAGTAGTATTACTTTTCTCAGTATCAGTTCTTGTTCGTTTTGTCTGAAGTAACCCAGTACCTTCACGAGGCTGACTAGTCTTGGGAGTGTCCAGTTTGCGTTTTACAGGAGGTTTTCTGGGGACCTTTGGCTTTGGTTCCTTGGACACTTTAGGGACTTTGGGTTCCTTTGATTTTGCTTTTGTGACTACAGGTTTACGGGGAGCCTTAGATCTTGACTTTGATGGCATCCACTCTTCACTCTCCTCTTCACTCATGGTTTGAGTAAAGGATCTATAAGTAAAAGGTGTATTCAGTGGTGCCTACCAACTCTATCTCTCTTGTTGTTGGCAATTCTTTTTCAGACAAATGTTGAGACCTTAACACGTGTAATATTATGTCCCCAGATAATATAAATTGTATTGTGTTGTCACTTACAGATCAGAGTCTAGATCTTTATACTGCACTTCTTTAGCAGTGGTTGTTCTGGGTCTTCGCATCATCTTTCCAGCTTCCCAACAGTACGAAGTCCCCTTGGAAAAACTAACATTAAAGGCAAACCCTTGACATACGATGTGTCAACTAAAACTAGCCAAAACGCAAGTGCCGCCGATGCTTGAAAATTAGCATGTTAGTAGCTAACGTGATTCTTGAGACAATGTGGTAAAAAGTGCTATTATTTCATTGCCGTCCTAAACAGCACATTGAAATATAACTTGTCGTGACATTATTTTGATCAGACTGTTTAAAACCACAATGTATTAACCACAATTCCGCATGTTCAGTGCTAAATACCACACAACTGTAGCTTCAATCCAGATGAGAGCAGCACACGAAAGGAGCCGTTTCCTGCAACACCACGCGATCAGCCAATGAGCGACCTCCAAGATTGTTACAGCGAAATCTGAAAAATATATTTTAAATGAGCTTTATATTGTGTTGTTATTTTTAGCTAATATTTCGCAACTCCAGAAAGTATCCAATATATTTGTATCTAATTTCTCAAAGGTATGTTACACTTTTCTGGTTTGCCGGAGTTGTCAACCATTTGCTTGTACCTTGAGTTGCTTTGTTTTATCCTAAATGAAATGAATTGCAAAAACACGTTGTGTTGCTGTGACCAAGTTTTCTGCCTGTAGCAGATGCAGTTACATAACGTTCCAATAGGAAAATATAAAAACCTTTACCCCTGAGTTATCCGCTTTTTGATTCCTTTTACTACTTTGTTATAAAGTAATTACACAGACAATCAGGTCAACAAAGTGAGCAACTTATGTGTGAAGGGGTTTTATTGACAAGGTAATATGCAATTGTAAAAATAAAGCAGAATTAGCAGAACTGTGATTATTACATGTTGAATTCCTTATTAGTTTTGTTGCCCTAACAGTAATGTGAAGTAAGTAGCCTAGTAGATAATTATGTAAGAGCAGTATGCATTCCCATCATACACAGCAACATTTCAGTAATGTATTAAGAATGCATATGTATGGATGTTTATTTATCATACAAATAATACAATGTTTTAACACAAACTCTGCATGCATTGAAAATGGATACACAAGGATCAAACGGCACAGTGTGATTGTAGAGGACAATTATCATTTAACTAATTCCAGTTTAAGTAAAATCAAACAAAAACAATTTGTATAGACATAATGTACTAGCACAGGAGTACCTTAGTATGTATCTTACTTTAAAGTGAAAAAATGTAAACTAACTTGATATAGATATAGATATTAGACAAGGGACAAAACAATTTCTGAACTACTACTGATATTGAACAGTGCAATTAACTATAAGCATCTAAAGTGCACTGATGAAATACCCAGCATTTAAATTAAAGGCACAATACAGTATATCGCTCAAACCAACTCCTGTTTTGATGCAATTACCATTAAGCAGCATAATTCTGAGACTTACTTTGGCAAAAAGTGCTTCCCTGCAGCAAAACTTTTAATATTTCCTCCAAGATGAAAAAATAACAAAACCAACAAACAATATCTCTACACATAATGTTTTAAAATGTTGAAAACATGATTTCTGAAAACTAGTCACACAAACATGACTTTTGACCTATTCCGTTCAATTATGTCAACCAGATATAAATCTTTCAAGTACAAAATATATTTAAAGAGATTCTTTTCTGTGCGTTTTTAGGGAGAAGGGTAAAAAAGCTGGAGTTGGCACAGTTATTTACGTCCACCTTTCAGGCTGCTCATGTAGTCTTTGAGGGTGTTCTCAATATTCGGGACTTTGTAGTTCTGTGCAGCATAGATTCCAGTACATGTTCCAATAGCAACACCAACCAATGCAGGGGAGCGTAGTCTGGCAATTATGTACCCAGCCATAAATCCCTTGAGGAAAGGAGAGGCGAGAAAACTGCCACCCTAAATACAAAAGAACAAAAAGTGTGTCAGAAGGGACAAAAGAAGACACGACAGCATTTACTGCCAAAACATACAGGAGGGACACCAGCTTGGATCTCATCCTCTACTCGTCTCTGGATGTCCTCAAGTTGGTCTCTGAGGTCCACCAGGTCTTTCAGTTGGTTAAGAGGGTCCTGCAATTGGAAACTTCAGTCACTTTGAGTACGACTACATAGACTGTGACTCTAAAGCACGATCTATGATCTTCCATGCTATAGTTAGTATGACATTTCATGTATGTAGCAACATGAGAGGTTGGCCTTCTAATAAATGAAACTGTGACTGTTTAAGATGATTAATTATTAGATCGGATGTTATATCTTACTAGGTTATTGTTGTACTATTATATTAGCATTGTTTCAGTCATAATAGTAGCAGTTAGCCTAGCCTACTAATGTATATTCATAATCTATAAGCTGCTATTATTTTCAATAACCATTGAAGCATTTAAGCAGTGCATTTATAAATATATCACGTGTCTACACGGTCATATATCATCATATCGGTATATAAATATGGAAAAAGTTTTGAACCCGACCTTGCCATTTGCCATGGTGCCTCTGCTCGGGAACAGCAGCCTAAAATTCTGCCTCTTCTTCCGCTCTGGATTGTGTTGGCGCCCTCTGTTGGACAGTTGTATGTTTATTTAAATTACTTAACTTCCATAAAATTGTAGCCACGTGGTTAAATCTGCAGGGAATAAGAATAATTAAGGCATCGCGTGTAATCCCTCAATAATTAAGGTAGGTCTAGGTTTTATATACTTTGTGATCTATAATACAATGTCTTCAGAGCAACCTACAATGGGTTAGGCGATATACAGTAGACCCTTCACCCTTTAGGTGTTTGAGGTAAATAAAATAGCAAGTAGCCTGCTGAAGTTTTGTCCATTGGATGCCTTAGACGTTTTCAGCTGTTTTCTGTATGTTTGTGTATGTCATTATTAGAATTAGACTTAGACAAACTGTTCCACAATTATTTGGACACAGTAGCTCACACACCACAATAAATATAATAACAAAGACCAACAATATAAATGGTAATAATACATTCAAAATAAGTAGTAAAAATGTCAAGTAAGGCATAATTATACAAGTGTAAAAATAAAATATAGAAATGTAGTAATACAAAATATGTTATGTATGTACAAGAGGTGTTTAAGACGAAATGGTGATTAGCATGACACAGGGATATCTATTACGTAAGGGCGAGTTGTTGTACAGTTGTATGAAGTATGGTATGAACTATGAATGTGGTCCTGTATCTCTGTATCTTATTCATTTAATAATGTAACACTATGATAAGATATAGAAGCATAAAAGGACCAAAATACAACAGCCCTGCAAGCAATACTAAAAAATATATTTTGATACTTTGATCACTTTTAAATGCACATTTTTATTTACAGCTTTAAGGCTAAAATTGTCTTCAAATTCCAAATGCAAATATCCATGTGGCCAATATGCATTTGTTTAATTAGTTATACAAATTAAACAACAGAATGTCATTAAGTTTTGTTCTTTTCTTTTTACTTTCTTACTCCTCAGGGCTTCAAGTTTGTAATCCTCTCATTTGGTTGGGCAGAGGCATTAACCGTCCCTTATTAAAGCTCGTCATGAGTTGGTGAAAGAGGACAGTCTGCTCAGAACTGTCCCTTCCTCATTGTGCAGGCTTCTGGGGCTATAAACTACTAAATGGAGGTAAGATGTGCCCTCTCTTGTGCTGTTGATCATTATTGATTTTGGCTGCGTGCACTTGGCTGACTAATGTTTGGATGCCACCATAGAAAAGGTCATGGAGGCAGAGGCACAGTCATTGCAGTGATGTGTTTTGGACTGATGCACATTCATATTCAGGCGTCAATTATGGGGTTTTGTGTCTGTGAAGAAAAGGGCTGCTGGCAACAAAATGTTATTGTGATAAACACTACTTTTTAAACTGAAATTTCAGTGCCTTTTAAGAGAGGAAAACAGCTATAGTTAATGATTATGGATTATGGATTAATTAATGTATTATGTCGTGAACTTGATGGCATTGATAAGAAATTAGTAGGCCAACCTTAAAATGTGTGAATATTACTTTGAAAATTGATTGTTTTATTTTTGGCATACTCAGTGTATTATCTTGGCTTTAAATGCTGTTGGTGTTAGCAGAAGAGAGTTGGATGAGTAGAAAAAGAGTGCTGTGAAAAATGGTTTATATTAGTGTGATGTGGATACAGGAGTGAAATATGTGCACATAATGTTCTCTGCCTGAGGAACTGCCACCTCTGGCTTTCTTTCTTCTAGTGTGTTTCGCTGCACTGCCTTGTGATTGCATGCTTTCCTGTATTATGTTCAATATTTTAAAGATTTATTCTGGTTTATGCTCTCTTTGTCTTCAAATCTTCTGTAACATGTATTGACTACTCGGTGAAGTGAAGTTGCATCTTTAATCTTATTGTTGGCTGCTCAGTATTCTGTAAGGCTTCCACTGTTGGCAACATTGACGTAGTGTTGTGTTAAACAGATGAATATGGAGCAAGTAATGCCTATGGGGAGTATTTATTGCGAAATGTTATGAAAATGTAATTTAGAAATGAGAGTGAGTCAGCATTTAGTTTTTGCTCATTTTGTGTATTATTAATTACCTTGTGTAAAAGGAAAATATGCACACATTGTTCCTGCATGAGACACTTGGTAGACTGAACACAGGCTGCACCGAGGGCACTATGGGCACTTAAACTTTCAAATGCATGAATTCATTATTTTAATAGCTGTCAAGACTAAAGCAGAATTCTCCCTTGATGTTGTAACCATTTTTCTTTTATCATTTTGAATATTAGTGAGAAGCTGAGTCGATAATGAGGTGTGGTGGTTGTAGCTGTTTCTCGTGAAATCTAGAGTAAAAAAAAAGATCATTGTACAATTAACCTGATTCTTTGCATATCTGAGAGTCACTGGCTGTGTGCCACTAATTAGTTGTGCACTGCTGTGGTGGTTGCTTGTAGCTGTTACTGTGTAAACGCACTATATGCTGCCAATGGCGTTAAAGTCCTCACATACATTGAGTAAAGGGGCTCATTTTGTTTCTCAGCCAAAAGCCAATTAGAGTTTTTAGGCTCTGTTGCTTCTTTGGCACAGGAAACCTCTTCAGGTGGAGTCAGAGGGGCACTGCAGCCTCACTGCAGCACTCTGCCACAGTCTGTGTGTGTGCACTATATGTATGGAGATCATTCACCCAGACAGACCCATAATGAATGTATCAATGCAAATGATAATACATGTATCATAGTTAAAGATAAACTGAAAAACAACACATTAAACCGATATACAGGAAACAGTGCAAGACTTGGATAATTAGTTTCACACTATACAGTGGAGTGTTGTACCTGAGACGTAAGTTTCAAGAACATGGTGTAGCTCTTCACAGTTGGGTGATACCACACTCTTCTCACCTTTTACACTATATTTTACAACTGAAACTATTCACTATAACATTTTGGGGTTTTTTATTAGTCATTTGATTTTTTATTGAATATTATGAGAATGAAATGACTCATAACATGGCTATCTTTTGTGTCCTGGCTTTAAAAAAGGACACTATCCCTTTCGATTGGTATTCTACTCACACACATTTTATTTGACGTGATGGACTTTCTGTTTTTTCTTGGGCAGTTGGCAGTGTTCCCAGTAAACCATAAAGCCCCTTTGCTGTTATAGAATGTAATAAATCAGACACTACTCCCCGTTCTCTTACATGTAAAGTTACATGAGCCTTTAAAGTATGATGAGCATTAGTCTAGGCTCAACAGTGGGTGCTTAAACAGGGTCTTCCCTCCTTGCTGCTGCATCAGCTCTCTCTCCTTCTACATCTTTCTCTCTCCTCCCATTCTCCAGTCTTCCTCCCCGCTGGTCTCACCACACTCATACTGGCTGGGGGAGTCCTGGTCACTCTCTGTGGTCTCCCTGGTCTGATTGGTTGGATCTCATGTAGAAGCATACTTAAACAGCTGGCATTTTTTGACATTTGACATGAGCATTTTTTTTGGACTATATCATGTTTTCAAGATCTACAGCTGTCTGAAGGATTTTTTTTGGCTGCAGGACACCTCTCAAATCTCAGGTGAAGAATACTGGACAATGGATTTTTTATGAAACCGCTGTTACCAAGAAAAAATTGTGTATTTTAATCTAAATAGAAATAATTCAGGCATCATTTTGTTTTGGTTTATGTATTCCCAGATTAAAGTGCTGCCTTGGATCTCACATAGTTCACGTTTTCTTTCAGTGATGCTCAAAAAAAAGTGTAAGAAACTGCCAGTTATGCATTCAAATGTATTTTTCTTGAGGGAAGATCTGCAAACATTTCATTGATAGCACAAAGCATCCTGACTGCAGCCACATGGAGGTGCGTGTGTCTCGTGTGCAGGTCGCTCCAGACCACAAGGTTCAGGGGTTAGGGTTCGGGACCCCCACGGCCGTCAGCTCCATCATCTCAGCAGTACAGCAGCAGGACTATTCGGCAAGTGTGTGGCTGCGCAGGAGGGACAAACTCGAGCATGTAAGTGACACACAGCACAGGTGTGGACAGGTGCAGACAGGTGTGTACAGGTGTAGACAAACAGCCCTGTGTGCACTGCTATCTTCTCTCTGTGTCAACAGAAGGTAATGTTGTTAATGATGCTTATGCTGGGTATTGTTGCTGTTGTTTGAATATTATTATTTTGAACAATATTCTGGCACTAGTGCTTTGCCATCTCTTCTTCTTTGGACCTTTTCGGGGCTAACCCTTTTCAGTTTCTAATAATACTGGTATGCTGTTTCCTCATAAAACTTACCTGTGGCAATTCTTTCATTTATACATGCTGCACTATATCTCTCTGAGAGGTCAAAACAATTGCCCTATACCCCTTGACATCACCTGGTGATAATCCAAAAGTCCTCCACTGGGTTTCCCATACAATATTTTCATTTATAATGTGACTAACCAAAGTGGATGTGTCAAAAACAAGTGAAATATTTGAAATGCTTAACATTAGATGTCTACGGTTAGTTAAGGTACCATGTGTGCATGGTAAGGCAAATAAATAAAAAGACCCAGCTCTGATGTGATGGTTTTGAATCAATAAGTGTTATTACATTATGGTCTCCCAGCAGAATAGTTAATCATTTTCATGTAAAATAATTGACTTGAGTAGGGGGCACTCAAAGAAGGATGCACATACAATTATCAATTCTGTGCTTATCTTGTCTTTCTATGTTTTTTTCTGCTGGCACTTGCATTAGACTGGATTGTTAATGTATTTTTTGTATTATCCTCTAAAGATCGATTACTACATGTGTGTCCACAAATGTTTATGATGCAGCAGGAGATTTTGCAGAGTTTTCGGGTTGAAGTTTTCTACTAGAATAATTGTGATCTCATTTATGATTATAAGCCAGTTCCAGTTGTATCTAAGTAGTTATGCATGTCTTATTATGAATATATGATGCATTGTTATATTATTATATTGTTATATCATTTACATTTTATGTAGATCTGTATTGATTATTTATTTGGATATGGTGACATGTGGAAATGCCATTTTGTTCTTTCTATTACATGTTTCCTATCACCTGATGTTGGGGGTAAGTGAGGTTACTCTTGTCTTTTGTGTACTCAAACAGCCTAGTTATCCACAGACACATCACTGCAAAGATGCTCAGAGCTCTTAGGGGAAAACAGAATATGCATTCAGGCGAGAGTTTGTAGGTGCAGAGATTAAGCGTCAGAGAAAGAAAAGGAAATGTGTGCTGAATATTTGATGCTGTAGATGAACAGTGGCCTCAGAGCTGTCTGCTGCTGAACCAGCCACTGATGAATCAGCATGGTACGCCTGCATGACATGAGGCGGGCATATTCTCTGACTGCTGAACGTTAATGCTATCATCTGTTATGTGTGTGTTTGCATCTGTCCTGTTTCTGTGCGTTCTGGTTACAGTGATTAGGATATTAACTGAAATATATCATATATTGCCAATTATGTAAATGATAATTTCTGTTTATTCTGCAGTCAATGTGGTAATTTGTGGTAACTTGTGTTTTAATGGGAATTTTCTAATGTGATGTGGTGAGTTGATTACAAACTAAATCTAAGCATTTGTCTGAACCAAAGTAGTTTTCAGATATTTGCATTTAAAAGTAGTTCTTTGCATTTAAAAGTAGTTCGTTGGTCTGCTGTCCCGGATTTAGGAATATCGAGCATTGAACAGCTTGAAAGATATTCCTACACTTCCAGAGTTTGCAGTTTCATGGGGACAGTGCTAGTGTAGTGTGTAGTCTGGTCTGCGATAATAACTACTTGGAGCCCTCCACTAACTGCAGAGTTTAGTCTAGATGAGACATACTGATTGAAAGATTACCCGAACAGTCTAGAGGTGACCAAGTGATTTTCAAAGTATTTTACACAATAAAATGCAAGGTAGATACGTCTGTGGAAAATTCCAGGCAAGGAAAGAACATCTCCATGTAAAAAAGCAGTTACACAGTGCACCTTTAATGAAGTAAAGTATTTTGCAAGGTGTACTGGTGGTCTTGTATGCATTTGTAAAGAATTAGAAAGGGTGGTCTGAATATTGTTAATCTGCACACATCCAACTCGCTTCAGTTTTTCGTTCAGAGGGATCTGTTGTTTTTCCAGTTGAGAGAAGAAAGCCTTCCTTTACCTGTGTTATCTCCTGTCAACCATTTGTTATGAGCAGTGAGTATTACAAAAAGTGTGATTAGTTAATTGGACACATTTCAGCAGAAGCAGTAGGTGAGATAACCTGGAGTCGGTGCTGGATGAGAGACAGCAGTGAAAAGGATCTTACATAAAGGAACATGATGTGCCTCTGAGTCTGAGCTAACGGGCATAGATTTGAGACATGACTTTGCGGTTTCAGCATTTTTGTTCCATGTTTTCACAGAAGAATTACTTATTGTTTCATATGGTATAACCTTTGCAAGTGCCGGACCCAGACTCAAAAGGATGCCAATGACCAGGAGCTCAATTTCTATTTAGTTTGATGCTTGCGTTCGATAAGTGCTATCCGTTAAAGTGACGCTCTGGGTGCTGCTGCTGCTTCTGCTGACACCCTGGCACCAGTTCAGCATCCTCCACCTCGACAAGCACTGGCGTTAATTAAACTTTCCTTTACTCTGTTCATTACAGAGTCAAGTATGGATCACTTCACACTGTCCCTTATTTATTCAGTATCATCAGAGCAATCTACAAATCTAGCACATGCAGTTAATTAATTGACAGTTCTGATTTTCAGATTTTTTTCAATCCAATACACTTTATTCATACAGAATATTTCATATACAAAATGGATTCCAAAGTGCTGCACAAAACACATAAAAGAATACAATGGGAATATAAAAAAAAAAGCTCTGTTTAACTCCACTAGCCCTCATTAAGACAATAAATAAGGGCAAAAATAACAAGAAATAAAAAGGTAAAAACATAAAAATAAATAAAATAAATCATTTTAATACATCCCCGAATCATGTGGTTGTATTTAGAATATTCCTCCACAAGAGGGGGATATTTCATCGTGTGCATAACTGGTTACAGACATTTAACTTCTTTTAATGCAGTTGGGATGAACGTGTAATGTGTTCCAGCAATGTGTCCCCGCAGTCAGAAGTATTTCTTTGGTTCTTTAGTTTCTGTCTAAATTGTAAAATTTTTATTTTATTTATTTTATTTTTTTTAAGATTAAGTGGGATTTGTAAGAATATTTTTAAGATTAAGATTAAGATTTCTTATTTAACTCTTTACTATTCGTTTTGGAGCTTGGGACAAACACAGTAATATGCGTAACATTATAACATTAGATATAGGATTTACACTGCACTAGATGTATGATTTGCTTCTATGATTTCACCAAACCTTATTTTCTCCTCATGCCTAAGTCATAGATCAACAGCAAACACAAAAGTTGGTCACTGCCTGTATTTACCCTATTAAAATTATAAAAATGAATTATTCCCTATATTATTACTATATATATATATATATATATATATATATATATTTTTTTTTTTTTGTAAGTATTTTTGCTGTTGAAGCACATGAGTGAACATCCAGATGTATGCACAGGTCAATAGATAAATCACACAAGTGTAGCACAAACGTGTTTCAGCCACAAGGGGCCAGTAGAGGAGTCAGATAGTAACTGCCTAAGAACAGGCTTGTGGTATGTTTATTGTTTTTGTTATGATGACCATGACCGTGCTAATTGCAGTTTTGCTGTAATGAGGGCTTTGTTGTAATTTGTGTGGGCATGTGTGTTTAATGCATCTGTCCCATCTCAGTAATTAATGTCCGAATCCACACTCCTGTTGATGGACAGGGGAAATAGTTGTGGCCACATGAGTATTAGCTGTAACAAATCACCATCTGTGCAGAGTTTGGGGTAAAATGACATAGAACAGCTGGTCCTGTTTCCCAGTCTATCACCCTCTGACAGTAAACCCCACTGAAACTTACTGAGCTCTTCCCAGCATGCACAACTGCAAGCCTTTAAGATGGACAAGATACTGTTCCAGCTCCAGTGTATTTATCGTAGTCATGCTGCATTACACAGATGGGTGACTCAACTCTAACAACAGCATTTTGAAACTCACGTTTAATCATTGAAGTTGTTATTGTCATTATAAATACTTGTTTGACTTATGTGGAGATGGAGTTCTTATGTCTTGTAAGTGATTTAAGTTATTTGGCTTAGGGAGGGATAATATACGTTGGTTGATTGCCGGAATTATTGGAGATTTCTTTATTTATTACATCCAAGAAGATGTAAGGTGTCCCCGTTCTCTGGCTACAACAACAAGACAAATACTGTATCTTAACTTGCATGAAAAAGTCCATATAGGCACCCAGGTTATTCCTAGTCTTTGTTTAGGAGGCACAGACAGATGTGATTCTGCAGGATGTGTTTCTTGAAAATTCTCTGAAAAGTGTATATATATATATATATATATATATATATATATATATATATATATATATATATATATATATATATATATATATATATATATATATATATACACACATATATACATATATACACACTATATATATATATATATATATATATATATATATATATATATTCTAGTAGTAAGTATATGCATGTAAGGGTATAAGCTGCAATCAGCAATCACACTTGAACTTGAACAGGCACCTGAACACCAAAACCGAGCAAATTACTACAATCACTGTAGTCATACTATAATCTATATTTATACTGCTTTTGTATTCGTAACATTGCAATGTTGTATTATTTACTTCCTACTTTCTTTAAGGTCCATTATATAGAGTGTTGGGGCATTTTGATTGTACCAGTAAATGTCTTAGCCCCAGCTCACTGGCCCTGATTTGTGAGTGCCTGCAGGCTGTGTTTCACCAGAGGGGCCTAATATAACCAGTAATGATATATACATGTATACACTACTCATAAACATTACAGGCAATAAAGAGGATAAATAATAACAGTAAACTGGGTGTCCGCGCTCAGTAACACCTTTCA